TTTTTAGGCAAAATTCATGCTTACATTGCCTCTGGGCTTTGCTCTGTTACGTAGATTTGTTTTAATTGGTTTTTGCAGGAATTGAATTAACTGTCTTTGAGGCCACTTAAATGACTTAAGCACAGGGATTTCCCCAATACCCTCAGCTGCTTGTAATCTTCCTACTCTCCTCCAACCAATCTAGGCAACAGATAATGGCAGCGCTGAACTCCCAGACTGCCATTCAGTTCCAGCAGTATGCAGCCCAGCAGTATCCGGGCAACTATGAACAGCAGCAGATCCTAATTCGGCAGCTCCAGGAACAGCATTATCAACAATACATGCAGCAGTTGTATCAAGTCCAGCTTGCACAGCAACAGGTATGGCCGACCAGCTGAGAAACTTAGATTTTTGTGTCCCAGGCTCTCTGGGAGATGCTAACTTGTCTACCCTTATCCCCTTGAAAAGATAGATGCCACAAGGAGAGATGGTGTCCTAGTGACTAATGCTGCTTCAGATTCAAACATCAAAGCCCCTTTATTTAACCTTTTCAAGTAGTTTTCTGAAGCAGCCATTAAGAAAATTCTAAGCAGCCTTTACTAATTACTGGGTTTGATATTGTTCTTGGAAACCAAATGTGAAGCACTCTGCTGCAGCATGTATTGTGTGCGTAATCTAACGGGGGTATGTGCCAGTGCACCTGAGCACGACCAGACCTGTTCAAGTGATTCTCCAGTGGGTATTGCACCTGAAGATCTGTGCAGAGCAGCAGGCTTTGGTCAGCCTGGTGTTTCCAGCTGAACGCGCATGCAGCATTGTCATATCACTACTGGGTGTGAGATTGCTCCTCCCTGTCAGCTTGAGAACTACTGATTGCTTTCTCCTTTTGCATCTATTGCCTGACATCAGTACCTAATTAAGTTGCTTGCCTGCAATAGACTGCTCGTGATTTGGGTGGGAGGACAGACTTTCATACTTCTGGTAGCAGTGGGTGGCAGTAGTATGTTACTTTGCAAGGTTTTGTGCCTGGGCTTGAAAGGCTAATTCTCTGTTTAGGGGAATCTTGCATCTCGCAAATGTGCTGTATTCACATCTCAAGCTATTTTAAAGTTCAAGGATGTCCATCTGTAACTATCTTAAACAAATGTAAGCCAGACATCAGACTGTAGTATGTCTGACCTCTCTGGGCATGACCTGAATCTTAAATGGCCTGTAACTGCCAGCCTGAGGTCTCTTGTTCTTGAGCTAAAGACTTAACAGGATATTAGTTACTGAATTTTAAATCATTTGTATTTTGACGAGGCTGATGCCCTCACCAAAAAACTGTCTAAGGAAGGAAGCCATGTGAACAAACCTGTGTGGCTCATGTGAACCTCATGACGTTCCACAAGGTCAAGTGCAAGGTCCTGTACCTGGGTTGAGGCAGTCCCCAATATCAGTACAGCCAAGGGGATGAATGAATTGAGAGCAGCCCTGCAGAGACGGACTTGGGGGGTGCTGGTGGATGAAAAACTGTCTGAGAGCTGGCGGTGGGCTCTTGCCGCCCAGAAAGCCAGCTGTATCCTGGGCTGCATCAAAAGAAGTGTGGCCAGAAGGTTGAGGGAGGGAGGTGATTCTCCCCCTCTACTCAGCTCTCATGAGACCCCACCTGGAGTCCTTATATCCAGCTCTTGGGTCTCCAGCATAAGAAAGACGTGGAGCTGTTGGAGCAGGTCCAGAGGAGGGCCACAAAAATGGTCGGAGGGCTGGAGCACCTTGCCTATGAAGGAAGGCTGAGAGGAGTTGGGGTTGTTCAGCCTGGAGAAGAGAAGGCTCCAGGGAAACTTTGTTTCAGCTTTTCAGTATGTTAAGAGGACTTATGAGAAAGATGGAGAAAGACGCTTTTACCAGGGCGTGTAGTGACAGGACAAGGGGCAGTGGTTTTAATCTGAGAGAGTGTCCGTTTAGATTGCACATAAGGAAGAAATTTTTTTACAGTGAGGGTGCTCAGGCACTGGAACAGGTTGCCCAGAGAAGTCGTGGACGCCCCATCACTGGAAGCGTTCAAGGGCAGGTTGGAAAGGGCTTTGAGTGGCCTGATCTTGTGAAAGATGTCCCTGCCCATGGCAGGTGGGTTGGACTGGATGATCTTCAAAGTACTTTTCCAAGCCAAACCATGATTCGATGGAGTTGAAGTAGTATAGGGAAGTCAGAGGCTTCCTGCCCTGTTGTAGTTACTCCTGAAGCTTACTGACACCTTGGTACCAATGCTTTGGTGTCATAGTGGTAAGCAAAAGCTATAGACTCATCAGTCTTGTCCTTGATGCCTTCTGTAGTTGATACTACTCCCTTGAGACTGAGGTGTCAGAGATGCTGCTGCCAGTTTTCTTCAATGCTATCAGCACTGCTCCTTTCAGTCATGGCTGTCTGCTTTCTGCATACAGAAGACTAATGCCCTCCGAGACCTGGGGCAAAAGAGCCTTTCCTTTATAGTGTTTTTCAAAACAATAAGTCTGCCAGGCAATGAAGCTTACCTTTCAAATCTCTACTTGGGTAACTTTTGTAGAGGAAAGTATGAAAAGCATGTAACAGAGCTAAAATGATCTAATTCTACTTTAGACTTTCCTGAAGACTCATGTAGCCTCCATAACACTTCTGTGGAATACTTTCCTTTTGGATGCCTGTAACTTGGCTACGCTGGGATCTATTAGTGTAGTTAAAAAGTGCTGTTCTGTCATTGTTGCTTACAGATCAGCTTGTGATACGATTAATTTTGGAAGGGCTGTATGCAGTAGTTTTCTGGAAGAGTTCTCACGGCTTTACATTGTCTCAGTGCATAGAACTGCTGTAGTAGAAAGTGGATCTGGACAGCATTCGTACAATGGCTCTAACTTGAAATCTAACTAATGTTTGACTTCATGCTCCTTCAGGATGCCTAGATTCCATTCATTCATCAAAATCAGGTGCTTATTAGGTTATTTTTTAAAGAATGGTACTGTCAGATACACCTTTTCTTTGTCCCAACAAAAAAGTATATGCAGTCTCTCTGTGCTGATAACTAGGGACAGGGGAATAAGCCTTGAAGCTCAAGAGGTAATGCAGCCTGCTTAAATCCAAAAGGATGGTTCTTACCTTGTATAATCTCATTTTAGGTGTATTTAATCCTTTGCACAGGGACAGCATGATAAATTCCATCTAAAGAGTTTCAAGGTACATAAGTCATGTTTTAAAAGCAGCACTTCTGCGCTTTAATAACTCTTCTCCCAGACCACTTGCAGTCCTTGTGGCTCTTACGCTTTCTGCTTTCATATTAAATAGCCACCTGTGTCGGGCATCATAGATTTGATAGAGGACCCTGTTGAGCAAGTTAACTCACAGATTGGCAAGTACTTACTAGACCTTAAATGCTTCCAGCTCTTTCTAGACCTGGATGAGCTCAACACAGAACCCTTTCAGGCCACTGGTAAAAACCAGCAAATAAGTCATCACTTCTAATTTTGAAAGAATTATGTAGGAGTTAATGAAATGCAGAAGTTCTGAAGTTAAGTGCAAGAGTTTGTTGTGTGTGCCCTAATTAACTTGAAAGTTGAGTCTCTTTGTTCAGGTTGTATCCACCAGCCTAGCACAAAGTGAGTTGAATTCCCCTAAGCACATGTAATTCTCACAGGCTGCTTCTGGTCTTTCCTGTCCAGCCTCCTTGTGGGGTGGAGGACTAAACTGCTGGGTTTTTTTAAAAGTGTCTTTATACCTTTTGCTGGAAGAGGGAGACATCTTTGGGGCGTTTGGTTGTACTTGACTTAATTTCTGTCATTTTAGGCAGCCTTACAAAAACAGCAGGAGGCAGTTGTGGCAGCGACAGGAACACCTCTGGCTACTGCATCGAAGGTGAATGCTCCTGCCCCAGGGGACACCCCATCTATTAATGGGCAGGCCAGTGCGCATGCAGACAGCCCTGAAAAAGAGCTGGATCCAGAGGCTTTGGAAGAAGCACTGGAGAATGGACCAAAAGGTAGGACTAGCTAGATTCCGTAATTAAAAATAAATAGCGAAAGCCTTCATTAGGAGTCAGATGTTTTAAGTATACTTTGCCTGGCTTCATTGGGCTATGCAAGATCCAGGTGTGGTTCCTGGGTCCAGTTTCTCTTGAGGGAGAAGAATATTGCACAGGCAAAACTCAGCTTTGCGGTGAGGGAAAGAAAAAGCAGTAAAAACATTTCAGGCAGAGTGAATGGGATCCAGAACCTCCTTTCACTCTTGACTTCAAGAAAAAGAGTGTAAAAGTTCTTGCAGAAAGCTGTTATGTGCAGAAATATGTTCAAACTTACTTGAACTCAGGTCAAAACTGAGTGTTGATTTAGCCTTGCAGATTTAACTAGAACCAAATCCTCCTTACTCTCTCTGAATGCTGCCCTACCTGTGACTTAGCCCTGTCCTGTGCGCAGTCCAGGCTGCTGTCCTTTCACATTTCCCACGTTCTTCAGACAGCTCTAGGAAGCTGTGGAAGTGGAACAGGAGAAGTAGCCCCCCAGCAGTGCTCTCATCACTGGTATTTCTTGCTGTAACATCTATACATTCATCCACAATCAGTAGTCCTTAAAAGATGTGCTGGGATCCCACTGTGGAGCCGACACTAGCACGGAGCCTGTCTAAGTGAGGTGTTCAGTTATTTTAGTCAGTGTTTGGCAATTTCTAGACAGATCAGCGACCTCTGCTTCTGTCAAATTAAAGATCCTTCCAGTAGAGGTGTCTGTGCAGTGTAACCCTAGCACTTGTAGCAGTACTTCTGAGTCTTTTCTGCATAAGCACCGTCAGTCTAAATGTGGCAGATGGGTAAACTGGTAGGGTTTCAATGTGCAAGGATTGGAGTGCGCAATGTTCTGTCTAAACTGGCACTGCATTTCATGCAAGTTTCAACTGTGAAAAGATGTTTCTTCGGTAAAAAAAAATAAACAAAACAAAAAAAAAAACTTGGCAGCAACTCTGATGCTTGTGGTCCTCAGGTGCCTGAGGCACACTTCAGCATGCAACATAAATAGCTGAAACAAGAGCTTAACTGGGATATTTTCCTCCCTCTCTCCAGATTCTGTTCCAGTGATAGCTGCCCCATCGATGTGGACACGACCCCAGATAAAAGACTTCAAGGAAAAAATCCGGCAGGATGCAGACTCCGTGATTACAGTGGGCCGAGGAGAAGTGGTTACAGTTAGAGTACCAACACATGAAGAGGGGTCTTACCTCTTTTGGGAGTTTGCTACAGACAATTATGACATTGGTTTTGGGGTGTATTTTGAATGGACAGACTCCCCTAATACTGCAGTCAGTGTGCATGTCAGCGAATCCAGTGATGATGAGGATGAAGAAGAAGGTAAGCATGCTTATTTGTATAAACTGCCAGCTCGGCAGAGCTTGCTGTGGGGGGAAAACCGGACTGATTGTCTTGTGTCATCTCCTAGTTCCCTCAGCTTCCATCTGGCTGGAGTCTTGTCTTCAGATTTGAATAGGAAGTGCGATTCCGAAAGTAACTTCGGTCACCTTGTTGTGTCACAGATGGGTTAAAGCAGTTGAGAGTGGGGAAATATTTTTCCGAAGTTTTACTTACTCCTTAGAGTGCCCTCTTGTCCAATTCAGTAAGCTAGATTGAAACCTGTGCCATAATAGAGCATAGTGGATCTGCGCACTGAAGACCTTAAGAAAGATCCTGCCCTGCTGTTCATGACCTTTTTCTAGGGGGGGAGTTTCCTTGAGGCTTCAGAAAAACAGCTTAATGATAGTGGCAGGGATACAGGTCGCAGCTTGTAACTGTGGGGCAGCCTAGCATACTGTCAGAAAAAACTGTTTTGAAATGAGCAGGTGATGTGCTTAGAAGGAACTGCTCTGACGTAGGGAGCGGTGGCCTTCTGGATATTACTGCTGAGTAAGTAGTAGCAGTATGTCTGTCAGATGAGTAGCAGTGAGTTGATGTGGGGTAATGTAATGAAAATGAGAGCTTGGCATCTCTATGACCTGACCCAGCTGTGCTGGGGAGATGGCTGTGGTGAGTTTTAATACCAAACTGTAAAATTAATGATAAAATGAGCGTGCTCACTGTTCCTGCTGCTTTTGAATGCCTTAGCCACAGACTGGGTACAAACCACTTCGACCCATCTGATTTCCAGACAAACAGAGTGCCTTGTCCACTACAGATCAGTCTGACTTTCTCTTGTAAAGCATCCACCCATGTTAACTGACACCTTTTTTTTTTTTACTTCCAGAAAGTACTAGCAGTGAAGAAAAAGCCAAAAAGAATGCCAACAAGCCTCAGCTAGATGAAATAGTGCCTGTGTACAGACGAGACTGTCACGAAGAAGTGTATGCTGGCAGCCACCAGTACCCAGGGAGGGGAGTTTATCTCCTTAAATTTGACAACTCCTACTCTCTATGGAGGTCAAAAACAGTTTACTACAGAGTTTATTATACTAGATAAAGGTGTGGCTGTGTCCAAGGCTGGGCTGTGCAGAAGATGTCATTTTATTTGGATTTTTCTTCAAGCATAATGGATCCTTTTGAGTCTGTGTTTTATCCTGTCTGTATCTGTATGGTTTGTGTGAACTTTAACAAGTAGACACTGGGATCTTCCTGCTCCATGACACTAATGCATATTGCATTGGGCTTAACACAGGATCTCCCTAGCCCTTTTGGGTATTGGAGTTAACCGATGGAAGTCATTGGCTCCAGTGCTAAAGTCACATCAGCGGCATTTGTTAAAGCCTCACGAAAAAGGGGGATGGAGTTGCTGGGTCACTGGCTGGGTGTTCTGATGTCTCCAGGTCTGGATGCTTTGAATAACTTGTTAACGGTTAATTTAAAGGTCCCATCAATAACTGGTAGATTTGGATACAGTTTGCTGTGTAGCAAGTTTCTCTTAACTGTAACTGAATGTCACATTTTTACACCATTAAAACTTGAAACTTTAAGTTGATGCAGTTTAGAAACAAGTTGTCTCGCTTCTGTCCTCATTGAAGAAGAAACATTCAGTTCTTTATCCCAGTGTAGCGGCTAAGACAAGGATGAACAGCATCCCAAAAGTACAGCAGATAACCTCTGCTGAAGATGTAAACCGAATGACAGTGAAAAGTGTATGTAGCAAGAACAACCTTAATCTCTCTGCCCTGCTGCTAACCCTAGAATAAAAACAGTCATTTTTTGAGGCAATTGACTTTGAACCAGGGCACAAACTATTTCTAAGTTTTGTGGGTTTTTAATGGGGGAGACTTTAAAAAAAAAAAAAAAGTACAAACCTGCAACTAGTTTTCTGCACAACGTTCTGGTTTGTCTGTTTTTGTAAAACCTGAATAAGCGTGTTGTGCGTCTGAATAACAGTAAGTCACTTTGATAAAGTATAGGAGTTAATGTTGCACTAATTGTGGAGATCGCTGCCAGTCCATTGTCATCTGAACTGGTGATACTTGGGTGCAGACTTTCTGCTTTAATCTGTAACTGTCTGCGGAAAGCCGGAGTGCACATACAAATACTTAATAATGTAGCTTTAATCTCAATTTTGTATGGTTTGGTTGGGACATCTCATATTTTGCGTAGCGGAAAAATGCAGGTGGCTACTTGACTTGAGGCTGCAGGAAGAATCCGCTCTCCTCGGAGCCCTGCACCCCGGGGGTGATGTGTTGCAGTGGCAACTTGCGTAAGTGCTCTCTGCGTGGGTAATGCACTTTGTTACTGAAAGAGAATGGTTACTGTGGGGCTGTCGGATCGGTTCTCGCAGTAAGGCTTCCATTGATCAGCTGCAGCCTGTACAGTTCCATGGCAAATGGCCTGGAGTTGGCGGGATTTGTTTGAATAATCAGTTTGTACATACATGTTACTTTACTTTTCTCATACCAACCGTGGAGATACTTCTCCTAGAGTGCTTAATTTGTCATCTTGCGTTTGGTTCAGCAACACCGTACCAGCTTATAGCTAGTTAGTGCTGTGTTATCCAAAAACACTGTACAATGTTCTGCTCTCGTGTATATACAGTATATAAACCATGAATTTAGAAAGTACCTTGCTTTTAAAGAAAACTGTATTTAATGTAAAAAAAAAAAAAAAAACAAACTTAAAAAGGCAGGCACTAATATATTTCTTCCGGTCTTCAATTTAAATTTTTTTGTCCATACAAAAATGTTATGACTCTTTCCTCTAAGAATATCTGTTCTTGGAAGCAGTGTTTGTCGCTTTAAATGGCAGCACTTACTGTCATGTGTTGGATGTTAGAACTTTCACGTTTTCAGACTTTTTTTATTGCCTCTGGCTGTTGATTAGTACAGTACAAGTGCGATTTCAAGATACCTTGAGATAGTATTTAATCCTAATTAAAATACATTTATCTGTAATGCTGTTGGCTTTTTATTAATTTGGAAACCTTGGCATTGCTGGGTATGGCTATTCAGCTAAGATAAACTTCTCATCTTCCCTCGCCATTTTTAAAAATCCAGTGCTGTGCTAACACTGTGGTTCTAGCAGCCCGGTGACGTGGGCCAAAGGCTCTGCGTGAGAAGCGTTACCAGCTCGCTGGATGAGGCTGTCTGTCAATACCAGAGGAGCCCGGCTTGACAGCGCAATCGCTTTGGTTTTTGGAAGTGACGCTGCTGTAGGGGAAAGGGTTGGGTGTGGGCAGCCAGAAGTTACGAGCCCTTTTCTGCCTAGGAGAGAGGTGCCTGCCTTTGCCCCTGAGGCTTAATGAGCTCGGCCGTAGGGGGGCTGGCTGGGGGTGTTCTCAAAAGCTCTGGGCCAGGGGGAAAAGAGACAGGCACAGCCATGCATCGTTTAGACTGAGCAAGAAGAAAAGCATGAACCTAGAGGCAAAAAGGGTAGTTATGCTAAGGTTTCTGTTGGCCAAAAGCACCCTTTGCTGCTTTGCTGCTACTGGTAAGTAGCTGATCCTGGAGCTGAGGCCAGAAGCGGGTTTTGCACCAGTTTGATCTGTGGTCCAGGTCCCACTGGCCCCATCCGCTCTCATAGACAGCGACCTGTCAAGCTGGTGCTTCCAGCTCTCATCTGGGGAGCAGAAGTCTCTTCAGTGAGGACAAAATGTGCTGTTAGGAGCAAGCTGCTGAGTTCGATGTACCACCACATAGTCTGGATATGCTACAAACTAGTTTCATCTGAGATGTGCCAAGTGCATTCAGAACCAAAGTAATTACAGCAGCGAGCCTACCCCAACTGGACCTATTTTATCTGTCTCGTGCTTGTATAAATTCCCTTTTCTCCAATTAAAAGTGAAGCGCTGCTCCTTGCAGCTCACTTAAGGCAGCTTTCTTCACAAGAGTTACCGTAACCACATTCTGAAATGAACTGAGTCACTGGCAATAAATCCAGGTGATGCAAGGTAAACAGCTTGACAAAGCTCAGTTCCAAAGATAGCAGTTCTTAGAGAAAGGCTAAATAATCTGAGGGACAACCCGTTGTTAGAAATGAGTTGGTTTTCAGAAGCGCCGTCAGCGTGGATGCTGCTTGTGCGGCCTCCTCTTTGAGGCCGTTGCGTGGAGATACCAAGGCAAGGTCTGCCTTGACTCTGCTGTCCCAGGAGGAGCAGCAGTGCAGTTGAAGCAACTTGCTAACTAAGCCACTGGGCTGCTGTATGATGTCATCCTTGCCAATCTGCTTTGCTGTCCTTCCCCACCCCTTGGCTTTTAGCACTTTCTGCCTTGTACTTTGCTTTGCAAGTCACAGATTAAACAGTGTGATTTAGAGCAGCTGGATGCAACCTTTGAGGTAACTGTAATGGGCAGGGTCATAAAATCAGAAATGTGCTGTCGGATGAGGTCTAAGGGACAGTTCAGCCATTTAACCTCCTCCTATTTATGCAGTTGCTCCAGAAATTGTAAGGGGCCTACATAGACCTATTGACGTACAAAGCAGCAACGTAGCCATCCTTCCGTGGAGTCCTAGCCCCTTCTCCAGGCTGCGTAACAGCAGTAGTTAGCCTTCTGAATCTAAAATAGCGATTCGAAGGCTGCTTTCTGACAGCTCAGTGTTGTCTTCTTTCTAGCACCAGGTCCTGCGATCCCCGTCCTTTTCATCCCCTGGTATATTTGCAGTGAAAAGACCGCAAGGGGAAGCTGGAAAAAGCCAGCTTGAGACCTCTAAGCCCTCCCAGCCTGTTTGGCTCCTGTTCCTGGCCTCTGAGTTGAAGTCCCGCAGCTCCTGCCTGCCCTTCAGCTCTGCTGCCACGTTTGGCTGCCGCAGGCGTGCGCTGTGGGGCCTGGGCCAGCACCCTCCCTGCACATGGTGCTGCACGGAGGTGCCAGCTAGAGCAAGAGCCCACTGAAACGCATGTACAGCCAGGATTTGTGGAAATTACAGTTTCCCTCGTGCAAGCTGCTACTTCCTTGCTGTTTCTGCTCTGAGCACCCTGTTCCACCTCCCTCCAAAACCACAGTTCAAATCAATAAGCCCCCGGCTCCTGCCATGAGTTCATTTGCAGACCAAGCTCAGGTGCAAGAGCTTTCAGCTCCCACTGCCAGCCCCTCTGTGCTTTCGTTCCTGCTCGCTGTGCGGGGAGGCAGCCTGCAAACGGGGAAGCCTTTGGGGCTGAGTCTCTGCTTTACCACGCGCTGGTGGAAAGAGGCTTGCCGAGACGCACAAGTCCCCGTGGTAACGTTGGTCCCGTGCTCCGTGACAGCAGCTTGCTTGTGTCGGACTCAGGTGTGCCAGTTTGAGGGGGCAGGTTACAAATGTGAGATCTACTGCTTGAAAAATAGATCTTCTAACCTCACAGCAGAGCTGCATCCAGCAGATGAAGATTAAGCAAAGTGTGAAACGGTATCCCAAATCTCCCCAGATACCACTCGTCTGAGACCTGCCAGGTGCACGTCAGTGGTCTTCCAAAGGTGTGGGTTTCAGTGGTACGGTGGTATAGCGGCTTAAAGAACTACATGAAAGCATTTGGATTAGTATTGGTGTAGACATCACAGTGCAATACAGCTGTTGCACATGCAAAGTTATTGTTTGGTATCCTAAAAACAAGAAAATTGCAAGGAATGAGGGAAAAGGAGGTGATGCGTGTTCTCTGTACCAAGTTCTGCTCCTGGCCTTCACCATTTTCATCTTGTACCATCTTCATCAGACAGAGTCAGGATGAAGCTGGTGAGAAATCTGCTGCTTTTAATCAGGGGGCTCGACACCGGCACGCTGAAGTGGCAGCCAGGTTTGGGAAAGTAATCCCTTATTTCGACCTACACCTCTCCTCTCGAGTTCAGTGTTTTCCTTGGAGCTGGGCTTCAGGTGTTGTAGCCCCCCACCCCCCTTCTGTTGTAAGGGAGCGGCTGCTCGGTGGCGGTCACTGCGGTGCAGCCGTAGTTGGCATCAGAGGGCTTCAACAGCCACTTACTGACTCAAATCCAATCTCTGCTACGAGGAGAGGCTGAGGGAGCTGGGCTTGTTCAGCCTGAAGAAGAGAAGGCTGCGAGGGGACCTAATATATACTTACAAATATCTGAAGGGTAGGTGTCAGGAGGATGGGGCCAAGCTCTTTTCAGTAGTGCCCAGCAACAGGACAAGGGGCAATGGGCACAAACTGAAGCACAGGAAGTTCCGTCTGAACATGAGGAAGAAAAAAACCCTCTGAGGGTGACGGAGCACTGGAACAGGCTGCCCAGGGAGGTTGTGGAGTCTCCTTCTCTGGAGATATTCAAGATCCACCTGTACAAGGTCCTCTACAGCCTACTGTAGGTGACCCTGCTTCAGCCAGGAGGGTTGGACTAGATGACCCACAGATGTCCCTTCCAACCCCAAACATTCTGTGATTCTGTGATTCTGTGATTCCCAGGCTCTGATCTTTGACACATGCTGTAACACACCGGAAAGTTGTTTGCACCCTGCATTGGGACAGTCAAAGATTTCAGAGCGAGCGCAGAACTACTGGCAGAGCTTTACCTGATGCTCTGGTGTGCAGAGAACAGGCGTTTTTCCTGCCTGAAAGAAAATGTCATTAAGCCTTGGCTTGCTTCATACACTCGGGGATGGGACTTCAGTGCAGGCCCGGTGATGGGGAGAACAAATGTTTTAATGGGGATTTCAGCCATGCCCGTTGCCATTTCAGCCGTGCCCATTGCCAAGCTCAGCTTCATCCCGGCCCAGCAGCGCACAGGGAGCTGCTCCAGCACCCCGGCATGGCCCCAGCACAGAAACCACCCCCGCCCCCCCCAGCTACACCCCGCAAATGCCCCGTTTGGCCCAGTGTGTCCCTCGGCGGGGAGTGGGGACCCTCACGCCTGCACCGAGCCCAGGCGAGGCAGGCTGGGTGGCGTGGGGTAACACCGGGGAGAAGCAGAATCCTTTCGCAGGTGCCCCGCTGCTGGTCGGCGATAAAGCTGCGCCGAATAAATCCCTGCGCGTTGCTCAGCCTGGCTTGGTTATTTTCCCCTGGATGAGTAACGCTGTTTTCCTAGAGCCTGACGACAATATTTTTCCTTGGCAAAGGCGCTCCCCGGGTTGTGCCAAAACTAATTTTCACAGGTTGTCTTTTGCAGTCAGCCCACTGGTGTGGGTTAAACCGGGGGCTGGGGTGGCGAGCTTCCCCCTCCCAGCAGAAGGGACCCCACAAAGAGCCGTTTTCTGCTCCCCCCAAAACCAGCCAGCCTGCTGGGACCTGTGCCAGGTTTCCCACCCCAGCCTCTCCGGTCATGCTCGCAGCAGCCACGAAGCAAATGCAAGCCCCCAGGGCTCTGAGGGAGCCCCAACACCACCATCCTCACTCAGACGCAGCCAGCGCCAGGGTCTCAGGGCCCGCGACACATGGGAGGTCGGGGCACAACCTCATGCGTGGAGAAAGGGTTGGGGGGGAGAGGTAAAACCCACCGCAGCTGGAAGTGGTGTAGGATGGCGGAGCTGCTTTGCCCAGTGGTAGGAGCGTTTCTCTCAGCCCGGCTTGGAAAACCCTGGCTCCTGGCTGTAACCCTGCAGTCGTTCTTAGGGAGGGGAGCTGCAGCCCGGCAGCTGAGTGCCTGCTGGGCGTCCATCTTCAGTGTTTGCCATCTCCACACCATCAGCAGCCCAAGTCCTTAATGCACTTACCCAGGCAGCCAGGTAACACACCCGGGGCTGTGGCTGCAGGCACGGGGCCAGCACAGCCCTTGGGACAGGAGGGTAACGTGGCCAAAGTGTCCCCGCACCGTGGCAGAGGGATGCAAGGCACCTCCTGCCCACCCACCCCTCTCTCTTCCCCCTGGGCAGAGGCAGTGGAGCAGCCAGGCTTTCCAGCCTGCTTTTAGATCACCCTCAGCACCACGATTCGGCTCTGGTTGACAAGGTCAGCCGTGCCTGGCTCCAGGGACTGGGTTTCAGCCGTCACCAACATTTGAAGATACGTGCAAATGCAGCTGATAAATAAAGAAATAAATTAATAAAACAAACCAAAACAACTCCCAAACCAGCAAGTAACCTGCCTGGCGTGAAACTGTCCTCCAAAGGCAGCAGCCACACCTGCCACAGGCTCAGGGCAGTCCCTACCAGCATCCCCCATACCCAGCACCAGTGCCACCCACTCCCCTTGTCCCTGCCTGCAGCAGCGGGGAGAGGGACGCTTCAGCCAGCGAGGCACAGAGCAACGCAGGACCCTGTCCTCCAGGCAGCAGCTGAACCGAGCCCTTCTTGCAAAACAAGTCCCACTGCCCTTGGTTCTCGTGGCCTTTCGTACCCCAGCTGCTCGCACCCTCGGCTCTGCATCGCTCTGGCGTGGGCACCTGTCAGAAGATGCTGGGCGCTGGCCTGGGCGCAGCAGAGGACCTCGGAGGAGCCTTCGGGGAGAGCTGGCCCGCAGCACAGATCCTGTGTGCTGGCTCCGGAAGGTCCCGCCTGGCACGGCCGCACTCAGGCAGCGGGAGCCGGAGCCCAACGTGCCTCAACCAAGCGGCATCGAGCTGGTAAAAAGGGAGGGGCTCGTACCATTAGATGGGGCTGTAGTTAAAGAATCAGGACGTGTAAATTATACTTCAGACTCCTGACGGGGCTTGTCCAGGGGCAGCAGGTAGGTATCGGCCATTGCTGCCTCCATCGCCCCATCTGCGGTGGGGCAGGCGAAAGCTTGTGGGGTGCAGAGGGGTGGCAGGAGGGACAGGAGTCCTGCAGAGCCTGTGGGAAGCTGTAGGTGGGAGAAGTTACCAAACTGCCAGTGTTCAGTCCTGTTGTTCCAAATTTTATCCATCCTAATTCCCCTGTAACACCCTCCATTTTTCCCTGATGCAATCTATAGAGCGTAGAAATGGGAAAGATCCCTGGCAAAGGCAGATGCCTGGTGCTCAGCCTCCTGTGGGCTCCTTTCAGTTTATGGAAAGACTCAGCCTCACTGACTTCAGACCTAAGCCAGACAGATAACCATCAAAGCTGCAGGTACTGGCTAAACACTTAGGAAAAAAACTAATCCAACCAAAGACTTCAAAGCTCCAAAATTACACCAAGCCTAGTGACCCCAGAGGCATTAGCATCTCTGGGGCACTGATGGAGGGGAGAAGACACGGAGCAGAGCTTGCTCAAGGTTCACCAAGCCACAGTGAGACTCCTTTGCCCACAAGATCACCCCGTTTCTGGTCACACAGATGCTCAGGTGACTTCATGAGTGCACAAAGCGGCACCGGAGGCAGAGAAGCTGGGCTGGCCCTTGCCTCAGTAGCATTAGCACCTCTCCTCCCACAGGATGGTAACTACTGGATTATAAACCGTAAAACCAAACTGCTCTGTGCCATCAGGCTGAGAAACACATCCCTCTCGTGAGACCCCACCTGGAGTACTGCGTCCACCTCTAGAGCCCCCAGCATAAGGAGGACATGGATGTGTTGGAACAGGGTCCAGAGGAGGGCCACGAAGATGATCCGAGGGCTGGAGCACCTCTCCTATGAGGACAGGTTGAGGGAGTTGGGGCTGTTCGGCCTGGAGAAGAGAAGGCTCCGGGGTGACCTTACAGCAGCCTTCCAGTACCTGAAGGGGCCTACAGGAAGGATGGAGAGGGACTTTTCACAAGGGTGTGTAGCGATAGGACAAGGGGGAATGGCTGTAAACTAAAAGAGGGCAGATTTAGATTAGACATTAGGAAGAAATTCTTCACCATGAGGGTGGTGAGGCACTGCAACAGGTTGCCCAGAGAAGCTGTGGATGCCCCCTCCCTGGCAGTGTTCAAGGCCAGGTTGGATGGAGCTCTGAGCAGCCTGGTCTAGTGGATGTCCTCCCTGCTCATGGCAGGGGGGTTGGAACCAGATGATCTTTAAGGTCCCTTCCAACCCTTACCATCCTATGGTTCTATGATTCTATGACATTCCCTGTTTTCTGTAAATATTTTATTTTATTGCCAAGCAGGTTCCCAGTGAATTGTAACATTGTGCCCACAAGGAAGCGGGCAGGTCACACCCGATGGGCTGCACCAAGGCCACAGCTTGGTGCCGTGGTCCCAGCTTCATGGGATGGGACCGATGCACGCGCCCATCTTTTCCCAGACCAGTCACATTTACCTGCTCGCCATCAAGGCAAGCACGGCCACTTGCGTCCTCCCTTCATGGACACGTTCTGTGTAGCAGAAATCCACTTTCTAGCACTGCAAATTACTGCCTAACAAGTGGTTTAGTTCCAGCCCTTTCCCCCTTTGAGGACACGAGTGCCCAGTGCTGCTGGCTTTCTGCTCCCATGGCTGCTTATTCCGGGCAAAAGAAAAATAAATTCCTTTCTTTCATTAAAATGGACAAGGGAAAGCCATGGATTTCAGACAGATCTGTCCCACCCCATCCCATCCCCAAGCCAGAGCTGTCAGCAGCTGCTGCTGTTGTGCCAACAGAGGCAAGCATGATGCCCAGGGCACAGGCGAGGGGGGGGAAGCATTCACAGGAGGAAAATGAAGTCCCTCCATTACCTTAAGCAGCAAGGAAGAAATTTTCTTTAAAGGCTGCCTTACCAGCAGGAGAACTTGCTCTTACACTGCGTAAGGGACTACTGAACAATCTCGGGAAGCTGCTGCCCTCCCAGCGGTGGCTGGCGCTGCAACTCGTGGAACCAAACCTCACATTTCCCCAGGAATTCTGCACTGAAAAAAATCCCGACCCTAAAACCATATTGTGGAGGCTGAACCTTTTCACAGCAGGAGAAGGAAACCGGGAGCAGCTTTGGCTCTAGCGGGGGGGAGAGGGACCCTCCTGGGGCGGTGGGGTCAGCATCTTCTTCCCTTGGGGGGAATGTGCAGAGACCTGGACCTGCGCCCACGGTGCACGAGTCAGCAGCCTGAGGAGAAGTGCCCAGCGGTCTTAAAGGTTGGTTTGAGACACTGAGGGATCCCAGTTTTCAAAGCCTTTTGTTTTTTGGCTCGCTAAGGCATTGTGCTTATGATGCAGGTCAGGTCGAGCGGGGCAGGCTGCTGCCAAAAAGTGGTCACTGTTGGAAAATGTCAGCCACAGCCTTTTGTTTGTATCTCCAGACTCATTGCACCTACCTGGGCACTGGGAGGGGGGTTTCTAGAGCACCAGCTAGTCCGGCAAGTTATTTTAAGACTTTATTTTTTTTTAATTGACCATTTAATCCCAAACAAAGGAAACCAGAGGAAAAGCCACAATGCTGTCAGAAACAGACAGGCTTTTGGCAGCGCTGGCAGCGTGCCGCCTCCCGTTGGTTGTGGGAATGGAGCCATACAGCCTTGTAGAAGGAGTCGGGCCCTCAGCCCACACCCAAACCCGGTCTGCACCCTGCCGCCTGAAGGGGAGGACATTTGGCAGAGCAAGGGCCACCCTGGGCTCCGGGAAGAAGGGAGCAGCCTGGCAGAAAGCTGCCGTGCTTCGGCAGGGACAGCCCCATGCCTGGGCATACCCGAGCTCCCGGAACAGGGCCCAGGCTTAACACCAGCTGTTAAGAAAACCAGCCCTTTCCACTTTTATAAAGCATAAATGACCAGACATGGACCAGAACAAGGAGTGCAGGGCCATCCGAGCCAGCAGCGCACGCGCCTGGCTGGGGGAAGGCGAGCAGGAAAAGAAATAGGAAGCTGAGACAAAGAATTTCCGCAACGTCCCCCCAAACCGCTTCCCGCACGTGGGGAGCCAGGAAACACTTACGGAGAGATGCCCAGCCGGGGCTGAGCAGAGCTGGGGCCCCAGAGAGCCTCCCGGGATACAGATGGATACTGACAGCCCGTACCCACAGTAACGACCCCCCCGATGTGTCAGCAGCCCTGGATTTGGGGCTGCCAAACGCATGCAAACCCTAGAAAACGGGTGGACCAAGCTCTCCAGGACCCGTATCTACATCCCATCCCCTGCAGCAAAACCCCTCCCAACAGCCTGGTGAGGAGTCAGCCACCGGCAATGCCACCCATCCCTCTGAGCCCACGGGGACCCTCATTTCAACATCCCTCCAGAGATGGAAAAACCAGAGACCCGCCTCCAGAAAACAGAGAGGTGGGTTACTTACGGGTTCAGAAATCCCATACATGGATAAATAACTGGGTCCCAGCCCAAGGGGCAGAAAGGTTGGATCCCCAGGAGATGCTTTTTAATTGCTTGCAGCAAGCCAGAAGACAATGGCTGCCCGGTGCGGTCCCTCACATCCAACAGCACCAGGTGACATGCACCAGGTGACATTCTGGATTCCCCAAAAGCACTACAGGCCAACGTGCAGGTTTTAGGCAAATTGTAGACAGCATTTTTCCCGCTTCCATGGAAATTTTTGAATTCAGGAAGAAGCCCTGCCTGGAACTTTGGCTTCCTGGCCCCGCAGCCCCTGTTTGCTGCGGGCAGTGCCCGCGGCTGGCGAGCCCTGCTGCAGAGGCAGGGCCTGGCATCACAATTATTTGACTATTACTGAAAACGTGTGTTGTCAGAGCATCTTTTTGAAAGCCTCTGTTTAGTACATACCCTGCACCTAGGCTGGGGGGTGAAGAGACTGAGAGCAGACCTGCCAAGAAGGACATGGGGGTGCTGGTGAATGAAAAGCTGGACGTGAGCTGGCAACTTGCGCTCGCAGCCTGGAAAGCCAACCGTACCCTGGGCTGCATCAAGAGAAGCGTGGCCAGCAGGGCGAGGGAGGCGATTCTGCCCCTCTGCTCCGCTCTGGTGAGACCCCACCTGGCACAAAAATGATCAGAGGGCTGGAGCACCTCTCCAGGAAAGGCTGAGAGAGTTGGGGCTGTTCAGCCTGGAGAAGAGAAGGCTCCAGGGAGACCTTATAGCGGCCTTTCAGTACCTGAAGGGGGCTGACAAGAAAGATGGGGAAAAACATTTTAGCAGGGCCTGTTGCTATAGTACAAGGGGTAATGGTTTTAAACTAAAAGAGGGTAGATTTAGACAGGATAGAAGGAAGAAACCTTTTACAGTGAGGGTGGTGAAACACTGGCACAGGTTGCCCAGAGAGGTGGTAGATGGCCCATCCCTGGAACATTCAAGGCCAGGTTGGACAGGGCTCTGAGCAACCTGATCCAGCTGAAGATGTTCCTGCTCACTGCAGGGGGGGGTTAAATGGGGCTAAATGGCCTTTAGAGGCCCTAACCAACCCCAACTATTTTATGAGTCTATGATACGTGCAACTATGAAAAATTGTGACTGTTTTTTTCTTACATTAGATTTCTCCTAATTTTATGGGCTATTCATTTTGGCTTTCTTCTGGTTTGTGTGGCTGGCAACCCCCCTGCTCAAGGCTACTAAATTAAAGATTTCATTGAGGTTTTGTTAAATAAACCCCTTCCTATCAGACTATAAAGGGAGTTTTTAGTTTATTCCTGTTACGTTTTGCTGGTGGCTGAATGCATTGAACACCGACGTGACGCACCTCTCCCGTGAGGGGTGGGACAAGCTGCCACCCTGAAAGGCAGTGGGACACGGTACGAAATTTTGACATGATGTCACGCCTTTTTCCCCCTGATCTGTTTGACATTAGACAGTTAATGCCTGTAGACGAA